CAGTTTTTGTTTTTTGTTTGATCGCGTTTTTTGTCTGAACTGGTGCGATATTAAGGTCTGGTCGAAATTGATGCACGTCCGCTCAGGCTAAATTTAGCATTAGTATTGTCGGAACTGGTTGAAATTCTCTCAGAGCGAAGGACATGGTGATCCCTCTGTTGAAGAGGGAGGCTCCGCACCAGGATCTGTTGTGCGCCGGCAGCTGCGACCTGTACGAGGGATGGTCAGTAGTTAGTGGTTGGCAGTAGAAGGATCTAACCCACCCTATCTTTTGCGTACTTACCCTCAGAGGCACGTAGTGCGGTTGACTAGGTGGTCAGCTTTCAACCCCCCCCCCCCCCCCCCCCCCCCCCCCCCCAGTCCCCACCGAAGCTGAAAAGGTATAGAAGAGCTATATGGACAACGTCACTGGTTCGTAGTGGTAATGATAAGCATAACCAGATCTTGACATTATCATCAAGATATATCTTAGTCATGTGCCCAATTGCGTATTATTTAGTACTGCTAATAGCACTACTATTATTCAAGATAATAAACCGAAATAGCTACAATATACAATGCTCCTAAGCGGAAGCTTATGACAATTTTTAACGTTGTTTCTTCACTTCCAATGCCTCTTTTGAGAGAGAAATAATTTGTCTTTGTGTTGCTTGTGTGGTTTATCCGACAAAGCTACTTTCTCCATGTGAATGTCTTGGAGACGTTCGAGCCGCGCTGGCGTATAAGGTTCCGCACAAACTATGTCCCAGTATCATACGAATTTGCTGGAAGAGCGTGTGTAATCTTTTCGGGTACTCGATTCATGACTCCGAGCTTGTCCCGAACCTACTTAACTACTTGTGCACGATCGCCCACATTGGCCTAGCTATATATAGATCTCTCTGATGAGCTGCTAGGTGTGAGCTCTTCCCTTTCGCCATCCTCCTCATTGATGAGCTCAGTCACGCACTTGGTGCTGCAAACCTGTTCTTCTTTAACTCCTGTAGGGATATAGAGTTAATATTGCTATGTTGAATTTATCACCTGTTGGAGAGATCCGCGTCTTTTGTGCACAGCTCGTTGCTGCATAGATGATGGACTACGCGACCACAATCGCAGCACGGAGACTTCTCCGGTATATCTTGCCAACAGCAGTCGGCCTTAACGCACCGTGTAACTCGCGGCTTCGAGGTAGAAAATCTAGAAGTGAAGAGAAAGCGATGGAAGGAGGCAACTGCGTCTGATTTTTGAAGATTTCAATGGATTCACGGCTTCCTGCAATTATTAGTTCAATTAGTACTAAATCAGTGATACTCCCAACTCTTAGACTAATAATAATATCATTAGTAATCCCATTTTTCGAGTGTTGTAGAAGAAGTGATACTAGTATTGTGCGTTTCAACTGTTTTGGCAAAGAGGGGCCTTATTCTGAGTTTAAGCAGCAGGTGGGATGTACTATCCTATCACTTTAGCAGACCCCGACTAAACTATTGTCCTCAGACTACGAGGTCTTACCAACGGGAAAAACCCGAATGCTGGTTTCAAACAAGCTATTCAGTGTTTATCTGCTTATAGTGATGACATTCTTTGAACACTAGCGCTAGCGTGCTGTGTTTTTGCTGTACGCTTACAGCATTCCGATTGGGACTGTCGCAGTGGTGCTTGGGATTTCAACGCGTACTCTCGGTAGATGGTTGAACCAATTTCAGACTATGGGTAACGTGGATAAAACTCTTCCAGTCCAAAAGGCATCTCGGTGGCCACAAAGAGTCAATAAATTTGTTGGCGAATACGTCAAACTGCACCCTTGTTTGTACTTTGAGGAGCTAAGAGCAGCCATTAAAGAACACTTTCCAGATCTTCCTAACACTTCTGACGTAACCATGTGTCGTGCATTGCGGTTTGATTTGGATCTCTCACGTAAAAAAAAAAACTTAACAAAACGGCCCGTGAAAGCGTTCAGCCGACAGACAGGACTGGTAGCTCGGCTTTCACCTTTTTATTCGTGCCCCGAACAGCTTGTTTTTGCTGACTAGACATCGAAAGACGGACGGTCCATGATGCTCCACCACGCGTGGTCGGCCATAGGTTCACCTGCAGTAGTTACCCCACCGTTTTCTCGTGGAAAAAGAGTGTCATTGTTAGCAGCTACAGATGTGACTGGCGTTTTTGTTTGGGGTCATGTGGAGGGCACATTTACAAGGGCTGCATTTCATGAGGTGCTGCGCACTAAAATCATCCCGTATTTTTAAATCGTGGCCTCTTCCGAGGTCGATATTGATTCTCAATAACGCTAAAAGTCACATGGTGCATGAAACTGGTGCATTTTTATTCTTTTTACCGCCTTATTCTCCTGACATGAACCCGATTGAAGTGCAGTTTTGTTTACTGAAGCGATGGGTACAGAAGCACGCAAATATGGCCTTCAGGGAAAACCACAGGCAGTGTTACGAGTGGCAATGGATATGTGTGCACAAGGTCATGACGACGTTGGCGTTAACTTGTATAGGCATTGTGGGTACTCGAAGCAGGTCCTAACTTTCAAATAGATATTCATCTTGCTCTTTGGTGGCAAACGTGCTTGAGATATCGCCATGTACAAGGATGATGCTGAACCTGACGAAACACCGTATTGGCGGAGGTATTCTGTCACTCGTGGCAGTTGTTCCTGAATACGAGACTGCGTTGCACGTCGAATTGTTGTTGGATGCGCCGACTTTTTTGTGTAGACGAACAACTTTAACATGGAGCCGCTTTGTCCAGATTTTCTGAGCTTCACCGCCGCCAAAATTGTTCCAACCGCTGTAAGAGGTCGTTATCATCAAGTTTATTAGGCTGGAAAAAGTTCTGTGAAGCGATATTGCTTAGCTTTAAGTACACGACCGTATCCTGCTGCATCGGCGCCACTATCACTGATTCGAACAAACTGCCAGCCTTGGCACGCAGTGCGTCGTGCCCGAGGTTTGCAACAAAGTCGAATTGCCTAGAACGTCACTTGTCTCTGCACCGGGCTAGTGGCCCACCTCTCTTGATCGTCAAACTACAGCGGAATGCGTCCGGGAGTGGAATAGAGGCTGGGATCAAGGGTAAACCTTGCATGCTTCTTGTAGCCTACAGCGGGTGCAAGTGTACTATCGGGTGCGAATGCGCTAACGACTGCGCAAGTGCTTAAAAGTAGCTCTCCAGAAACGAAGTTTAAATTAGCGATACTCCCAGATTAGGAAGCCTGACCACATGGTCAAAGTCAGATTAGGTGGTCCGAATAGCACGGCAAAGCGAATGAAATGGACAATACTATCACCGCTATTTTCAATATGCTGGACACTACTATCGAACCCTTTCCACGACAGACAAGCATTCGCACAACTTAGTGACACATCACATTCACATTTCAACTACGTCGTGGTAGCTGGATGCTCAATATCTTTGTGATGAGTCGGTATAACGCGTTAGGCACTGCTTTAATTTTGTGGAGCTGGATGCTCAATCACCAATTAACTGAGCATCCAGCTCCACAGAATTATGTCCCCTGCTCACAAGAAAAACGATATATTCGAAATTCAATTAGGAACAGCCCTCAGCGGTACCAGAACTCTATAGTTTCTGGATAGAGGACCTCCATAACCACCTGCTTTAACACACTCCTACAAACCGTTTCTCAAAATCATCATGTGCGTCTAAAGGAGACGGGTTATGGCGCCTCACATACTCCCATTTTGGCTTCAAAGGTCTGCGTTTGTCCTAACCGTTTGGACGCCTCAGTGCTTAAATAAGCTTAAAGCGCGTTATCAGCTATCAAGTAAGAAACGAGATGACCCTATCTGAGCGACCTGATCACTGCGGAGCCACTATCTCAAAATCAAGCTTCTTTTGTACTTCCTCCGTCCGGAAATATAAGACGGTCCCTGTATTCTTGGTGCCCGGAAATTTAAGAATTAAGTACATGTATCCATTACTTATTCCTACTTCACCGAACTTAAGAACGGCTTTGATTTGTTGTGCACCTCCCCGCCACAGGCTAGTGACGGCAGGAAAAGACCAGTGTCTACTCGCAGCTTGTCCTTGGACAGGTGTGGAATTGCGTACTTGTTGCAGCTGTCAACACTCATCGACGCCTGCAGCACAGACTGAAGCGTAAGAAGTGCGCTGTCAATTTTGGTATAATGGAGCTCTTTGAATGCGCTGTCAACGTTGTTTACAAGGTTTTCGATAGTCTTTGCTCACTTCTTGTGCTGCAGCGACTGCAGTGAATTGAAAAATCCCAGGTCGTTGGCATTAAAGTCTGGTGAATTTGCAGGTTGCGAGATGATCTTCATGTCCCAGTCCTCAAGGCTACATGCGGCGGCCACTTCGGGGTCATCCACCGCAACGTGCGGTTTAGCATTGTCGCGCTGCAGCGCCACCCGCTTGCTAGACGGCCATACTTCTTTAATGTGAGGGATGACCATCCGGCATAGTGCTTGACGGTAGATTTCACGCTCGACGCTAAAAGTCTTAATGTCTAAGATCCCAACCGGTCTGTCCTTGCTAGCTCTCTCAGCGGGTTCATAAACGGCAAACGGCCACAGACCGATTTTTTCGTCCTCAATGCGATGCCGTGCAGCATGCCAACGTGGACGTGCCAGTGCACAAATAAACTTAACCTTGATAATGTAATTCTTGTTCTTCACAGTAATGTGTGACACCTCTTCATTTTTTTCTAAATATAATCGCTGCCTCTCCTTTGGATAGGGCTTGGGATTTGTTTGTTTGTCTGAATGATATGATATCCGTGCTTCCTCATCTAGCACATTGTTTATGTTTTGCTGATATAACAAGTAATTGCTAATCAGTCAGCTACAAGGAGGAAGGTTTTCTGTGGTGGTGAAGGTGTCCTCTACTTTGATGTGTTTAGGAGTCCAATTATCGTTATAAAAAAAACTATTTTTGCACTACTACAACATCGATTGCATCTAATCTAATATACGCTGACAGAATTCTACTTGTTTTAATAATAAATACTCAACGAAAGACTTTAGCTTTATAAAAGTTGCTTCGTATCAAGAACAAAGCCAGCAAGTACAAAACTGAATAAATAAGCAGCTTGGCATAACATGTAATTCTTTAAAATGTAACAGAGATTGACTAGCTAAAGTTAAACATATCCAACTTCAATTAAAAAAATAAATAGTCTACCTTCTTGCTGCTCTCATTCGACAATATAATGTCTTCTTCACCACAGTATACACACCTCGGTAATGGCATTACTCTACATACTTTATCTATGACGATTCGTTTGATAACCGAGGATATGCTCCTGCACAAGTTAATCTATACACGGACGTGTTGCTATCCAATACGTGGTATATGTTGTATTGATCGGCGCACACTGTTTCGACAAAAGTAAATATGATACCATAGCGTATAATAAAAAAAAGAACATAGTAAAGCCGGGAACAATGTCTTGAGATGAGACCCACATTCGAAGCAGACTACTTCCCGTCAGCTCGTTGCAACGTAGAGTCAGATGCTAAATACCGATACCGATGAATGATCGTGTGAGATTATGAATGCTATCTATTGTCTTGTGATGCCTGGTTTATAAAACTGTAAACATACATTTTTAGGATGTTCATTTATTTTGTCAGCTGGAGCCCATGTGTTTTGACACTTCATCACTACGTAACAGTGTTGTCCATATTTGAAAGTAGGAAATTATCGGGCAGGCTGCGGCATGAGCGTCATGTGGAGTTCTTATTAGGAACTTCTTACCGGACAGGTATCGGATAACTATTATCTCTTTCTTTTCCTTTTCTGCTTGTCGAAACACGTACGCTATCGCAAGGAGCTGCTAGAAACGGTGGAGACGAAGGCAATAATTTATACCAAACTATCAATTCTTAGGCGGGCATATTTTCTTTATCTGTACTTTGCTCATGCCCCTGATGCCATTTGCGTCTGAGTTTACTACAGTTTTATAATTTGCTTAACACATTGAGAGAAGCAGGTGCCGAGGAGTCATGTTCAAGAATAAAATGTTCTTATGACTTTTAAGCGACAAGTTTTTTTTAATACTGCCCCAGGAAAACGAGACCCGCCGGGGTAACGTTGTCGCGTATTCTACAGTATTGGCACTGTAATTGCTGCCCAAAGCATGCGGCCTTGCACTCATTCTTCATGCTAAAAGTCTTGACGTCCTGTCCACTGTTATCGGAATCGATGATACTAAACATTGTATTAACCGAAATCACGAAGCCAGACAATCCAATCTTTAGATCAATCCTGTTGTGTTGTAAAGCTGCATCTGGCTTTTCCGGAGAATGAAGATGATGGCAAATTCTACATGTGTTTGCATAAGTTGGGGAGGATCCACAAATTTTCAAATCCATCTGAAGAACTTGCTCAAGAACGCATACGTTCTTTTCTTTTCTGGGATCCCCGCGTTCTTTCTCTCTCAGGTATTTCCCCAACCTTCTGGTTTCGCAATCTCCACACGCGTTATCCGATGAGACGTTTGCTAACTTCACGGACACGGCACACCACTTTGGATTTCGCCTCCTACTGCTCAAAGCATTCCGAGCCCCATAAACCAAGACACGATGAAGGTTATCGCTACGATTGCTGCTGCTTCGATGGCCCTCGGGATCTCCAACGCTGACCACACATCGCGTCAGCTGATTCTCGGTGGTGGAGTCATTCGGAGCGGCACGAAGACGTACACCGCCGGGATCCGTACTACACCCGACGGTGACACTTACTGCGGTGGCTCCCTAATCTCGCCCACGCACATTCTTACGACGTCGATGTGCACGGGCTACAAGGAGCCAAAATTCGTGTCCGTAGGCACGCACTACCTCAACGGCACGCAGGACGGTGAGCAGATTAAGGTCGTGTCGGCCCAGAACCACACGTCGCTGAATTTCTCCAGCGGCACGTACGACTTCGCTCTTCTGACTCTGGAGAAGCCGAGCAAGTTCACCCCCGTCAAGCTTCCCAAAGCGGATGGTTCGGACGTTAAACCCGGCATGTGGTCGAAGGCCATGGGATGGGGAGTCACCAGCTACCCCAACGGCTCCCTCTCTTACGAACTGCAGGGTGTAAGCCTTGAGGTGTGGGCCAACGATGAATGCTCGCGGGTGTTCAATATCGGTGACACGAGCGTGTGTGCCGGTGGTATGCCTGAAAAAGACGCGTGCGTGGCTGACACTGGTGGCCCACTGATCAAGGAGAACGGCCAGGGAGACTTGGATGACGTCCTAATTGGTCTGGTCAACTGGGGCTACGGCTGCGGCGACGCAGGATCGCCCACCGTCTACTCTCGTGTGTCGACCGCTATCGAGTGGATCAATTCTGTCACCTCTGGCTCGACACATACCAAGGGTCAATAAACAAACAAATTGCTTTCATATGGATGAGCCAATTTCGCCCATGTAACGGTAGTTCAGTTGTCATAACTCTCAATCCATACCTTAAATTCACTCTTGGCAAAATGCTACTAGTACTAATATTAATTGACACTCCTGTTTGTTTCGAATTCAGACTAAAACACCCATTAAAATTTTGATGGGTTATTTTCGTCTAAATGCCATCCTAAAGCCGAAAAACCCGAATTTAAACTTTGACTACAGATTTCCAGATTTTTGTGAATTTTACGTTTCTAAATTATTTTCACGCAGACTTGTTGTTGGATTTACGCTGTTTTTGTACATTAACTGTAAGTAGTACAAAACAAGTTTTGCTTACTTGTCAGATTTACATCCGCCAAAAAAGGATACCATTTTCATCGTTATCTTGAATAGTTTTGTACGCCTGGCTGCACCTCCAGTAGCTACAAATAGTAACCCGGGCAAGTCGTCGATTCGGCAATTACCAGCCATGCTAATGGATCACTCTCATACGAGTTTCAGGGTGAGAGTGTTGAGGTACGAAAATAGCTTTAACACGCATTGATTGTATGAGCCTGCAGTTTTCGGATTGTACGGCAGGTCTAATAATTACATACTCCAGTATTTATATTCTAGGCACTAGTATACATACATGTATTTCGAAAGCTTGAAGCACGGTGAATCAATCTATGATACCGTCAACGCCATATCTAATGGTAGCAGACCACAAATGCTCGCCGTTAAAACGCGAACTTTTTTCACATTCGAATGGAGGAACAGGCGCTTAAAGATAGGCAGTGTAGCTGCCAATATCCTGGGTGCGTAGTGGTACAGCGGCGGAATATTCCAATGTGTCGGAGTGTTGCAAGTCCGTGACATTAGGTTTGCAACAACAGCAGCAAATAATAATAATAAAGTAATACATCATCGAGAGCATCGTGGCCATGTCTTGCAGCTCATACTCGCTTCGCTGTGCTGCCTTGTTTGTTTCCTACATAGTGTTCGCAGAAACATGAATAATTTATCGAAAATAATAGAAGTACTTCGAAGTAGAATTTAACCACATTCGGCCAAGTTTGTTGTTTTTGGCCTGAAGTTTCATATATACAATTCTGGGACCACCTCCCCTACTTTTACTTTGGGTACCGTGCCCACAATTTGTAGTAGACTGGCCGGATTGTGTCTTGCTTATAGCAACATCGTATTTTGCAAGCTATCAAACACTTCAGTTGTGTAAATCTAGATGCTTTGGAGGCCAGTGATTTTTTTTAATGCTTTGGAGGCCAGTGTACGATTTACATAACGAGAGGTGTGTGTGTTTTCAAATAAAGGCAGACAGACTTGAAAATGTCTGGAATTCAATTTTCGTTGCCACGACAGTTCATAATTAACAGTGGATTCAGCCAGTGGATTCAAGTAATATTGGGGTTTTGCTGCACATGCGGTGACTGGTGATAAATAATTGACATTTGATGATAAACTTGATGCCAACTAAAACATATTGAGCCTTGAGTTTATTGGTGGATTTTTAGAAGTTATTTGGATTGTCTCATCCTCTTTGAATTAGCGTATCAGAGTGCTAGTTCACTATTGGCAGGCTTCCCTGTCCATAGAGAATGGGCTCACTGCCTGAATGAATTGTTCAGAAATAGCTGTAGAATAAAATGGCTTCACTATTTATTTATGGTATTGTGAAAACCGCTTCGATTGTCCGACGATTTGCACGCATAAAACAGCGCATAAAGCTAAAACAAAGGGACTAAAAAGGACATATAATTGTGATAAAACGTCGAATAATTTGAATTGTGTAAGCTAATTCATAGATGCCCTCATGGAAAACTGAAGCTAATGCAAGCCCTCAATTGTCTCCTGCGGGAAAGCACAGCTTGGATGCATCGATATCCTGCTACCAAGGAGTCATCCAAAGTAATTTCACAACAGTAATTAACCGGTTTGCCTCCGCAACTGCATCAATCTCTATGGAAATGCATTCACGAGGGGTCTCTGTTTTAGACACGTCATCGTTTTTGCGATGACCTGGTCTTGGAATGCCGAGGAGGGATCCGACATTCAGACCGATTAAGAGATAAATCGGTCGTTCAGCTGTAAATCGGCTGTTCAGATTGATTTGTAAATCAAATCAGCCGAACACACCAATGCATAAATCGCCTTGGAAATGTGAGGTGGCCTCTCTAAATACTTGTGACCTGGTCTGATTTATAAATAAAACCGAGCTTCATTGTCTAATTAAGCCTCTAAATGGTCGGATTTGTAATCGGATTAGACATTCGAAGCGGTTTTCATAATAACAGTTGTGCAGCCTATTCTAATAAAAGCCGTTTGAAAACTTAAGCAAAGGCAGTCTAGTTAACATGTACACTAAGTTATTTAGTGCTGTCCTGCACCTCTAATGACAGTCGTCGGACAGTTGTGTTCTCAATTTGCTCTTCATGCATTTGAGTATGCTGAAGTCGTCTTCAACAGTATGATAAGCGTATTGGAACTCTGGCTAAGATGGTAAATTAGTTTTACAGGTATAGATTCTGGACGAAGAATTTTTCCGAATGTTATCGACGAGTGGGAGTGCGTTGAATTCACTCTAACGTTGAGGGTGTTGCGGCTGAAGATGCTGCGTCAGATTATCACGTCGAAAGGCACTGAACATCGTTGGTTTGGTGGATTTCTTACACTACTTTGAAGTTAGAAAGTCAAGGGTGGCTTCACTGGCAATTCCGCGTGGCCCCACGACCATTAATAATTGTAGCGAGTCGGCGGATCCCCAGTTCATTCTCGTACTGTGGTAGCCAGGCATTGCATTTGTCATGTACACGCTTCTTGCGGTTGCGTATGGCGTCGTTGACATTTTGAATTGAGCGCTTTGATCAGGACTTGGTCATGACGAGCCGATGAAACTGGGCGATGAGCTCCCTACGCGAATATAATAGTAAGCTGGTAGTTTCGAACCGATTCAACGTGGGTTTTGATACTCAAAATCTGCAAATATATAGCCTGCAGACTTTGTGCGAGTGAGGCATAAACGCCTGAATTTTCGAATCCTGACTATTGGGCATTATTGATATGGATGAATATCATCAAGGTGCCGACACATAATTTTATCATCATTTAAGTATAGGAAAATGGCAGCAGTGTGCGCCATTTGACCAATGACATT